ACGCGTGTCCAAGGTGAAGGTCTTATCCTCATAAATAGTCATCTATCCTTAAATAAAGGTTTGATAGGCTAGTGGAAAATGGAAAATAGTCATCATCCAAAAACTCATAGCTCAAAATCTCTTCACCTAAAGGTCAATAAACTCATAGCTCTCCTCATCTCCCAAGAGCTCATCGCCAATAACTAGCTCTCCACATCGCCTAAGTCTCTTTAAAGCTCATGGCTAGTTCTCCTCATCCCCCAAGAGCTCATGACCATGTCAACTCTCCTCATCACCCAAGAGCTCATGGTTAGCTTTTGTCATCGTTTAAGAACGTATCATCCAATAACTCATGGCCAATAAGTAGGTCCCCTTATTGTTTAAGGGAAATTAGAGGGGAATGCGTATACAAAGTTTGTAAAGTCATTTTAGCAGTCATATGCTAATAAGTCAATGACATGTGGTTCTATCGTAAGGGTTATCATCTCGGGACCACTAATTTTTTGCCTGTATAAATAGCGTCTCAATAAATGAGCAAACGGAGAACTCAACTCTAAACTCTCAATTCACTTGCTCTTTCTCTCTCTTCAATTAATTATTGCAAATTTTTTTTCTAAACATTCTTACGTAATAGATTTTGATTTGAGTATCGAAAGCTCTACATTGATGAACCCTTCATCGATTCCCTTTTATATATTGTGACTCTTGTTTTATAGAGGACGAAGAGAGCCACTTACCGGATTTACCTTAATTTAGACTAACATTAGACTTGATTGGATTAGACCATTAATTAGGAATCTAAACTCGGAAAAGCACCGGATCAAGGAAAGTTCACCACAGATTGATCAACGGAGCACTCAAAGTCATTGACCAAGTGAGATCTACACTCGAAGACATAGATTCAGACACCCCAACGCCTGTGTTTAAATCATTAGTTGGCATTGCCTTAAATTATTTGGACAAGATTAATAGCTTCACCGAATCATATATATAACTAAAAACTGCATGCGAAGATGCATTGATCCCATAAGAAAAATCCAAGTTTTTGAATTGAAAGAATTCATTAAAGTTATTCATAATATTTAAAGGTAGTACATATAAACAAAAATAAGAAAAGTTTGGTAGTTAATATTGTTCAAAATTGTCTCATAAGATTGGACGTGTATTCAAAGTATGAAATGTATCTATACAAAATCTAGTTGATCAATGTCTAAGGTCTTATTTTAATAATACGGTTAAAAAATTTACAAGCTTAGTCAAAGAAAGGTGAAAATCTTGCGTGATTTTCGATTCTACTGTCTTGAACGAATTTTCTAATATTTTAAACATGAAACACGCAACATAAAATAACATGTACATACATGAATTAATAATTCAAATAAGACTTTGAGTTGAATACATGAATTAATAGTTCAAATAAGACTTTGAGTTTAATACTACGACGGCCACATTAGTGTACTAGGAGGAAGACCATTTTGGGAGTTGCAGGACCTTTACACGTTTTGCTGTGTAACAGAGACCACCTGCCATAAATTATTTGGACAAAGATTAATAGCTTCATATATATGACTGAAAAATGCATGCGAAGATGCATTGATGTCATAAGAAAAATCCAAGTTTTTGAATTGAAAGAATTCATTAAAGTTATTCATACTGTTTAAAAGGTAGTACATATAAACAAAAATAAGAACAGTTTGATAGGTAATATTGTTCAAAATTGTCTTATAAGATTGGATGTATATTCAGAGTATGAAATGTATTCAAACAAAACCTGCTTGATCAGTGTCTAAGGCCTAGTCAAATAATATAGTTAAAAAATTTATAAGTTCAGTCAAAGAAACGTGAAAATCTTGTGTGATTTTCAATTTCTATAGTTTTGAACGAATTTTTCTAATATTTTAAACATGAAACACGTAACATAACATAACATATATACATATGAATTAATAGTTCAAATAATACTTTGAGTTTAATACGAAGACGGCCAAATTATTGTATTACGAGGAGGGCCATTTGGACACTCACCTTTTTAATGTTTACTTTTTAACAAAACAAAAAACAAAAACAAAGGGTTTACTTTTCATCTTTTCCACTGGACACTCACCTAAATCCTCAACCATACCACAACAATGTCTTGATGGGCTTTGTAACACGAATCCATTTGGCAGACTTGGGTTCTTTTGGAAAAACGAAAGCAAAATAGGTACGTGTACTTGGTAAATTTGAAGATGTATTTAGTAGCAAAACTTAACTATAATCAAGAACTTAAGCCCAAAAGCAAGGAAATCAGTTTGGGCCCAATATCTACAATGGATTTGTGCTTGTATATGCCACGCTCAATTCCTCGCTGCTTGCTAAATTCTTGGCATCAAAACTCACAACGGCATTAGAAGTCAAATCTATTATAAAATCACTTCTAAAATTGAGAGTTTCTATTTGCCCTGTTGATGAATTAAAGGAGCTTCATTTCTTTTTTTAATAAATATAAATTTATCTTTAAAAAAAATTACTAAATTTGTATTTAATTTAGTTTTTGAAATAAGTTTTTCTAGGACATGTATTTGGTTTTGAATAATATAAAAATGTAAGTTGGTAATTGATTCTCAATTTTTTTTTAATTTAAGTTGAATACTTAATTTTTATTTACCCCAAAAAAAAAAAAAAAAAAAAAACCTCTTTTTCTATATTTCCAGTTTACATTTTTTTTATAGGGCTACAATTGCTTATTCTAATGAGGGTAAATTATTTGTGTTTTTGTTTTTTTTTTTTTTTTTTTTTAAAGTTCTTTTTAATTTAAATTATGAAAATTGTGTTTCAAGAAGAAAAAAAAAAATTGAGGAGACATAGCATGAGTGAAGATTATAAAATAATTACATTTATTTTTTCTAAAAAAAAAATAAGATGAATGATACTCATGGAATTTTTGGGTGTTAGAAGCACAAAAAATAATTAAAAAGAACTTAATTCCTCCTTGAATTTGATTTCTACTTCATTAGGAGGATATCTCATAAATTGCTTGTTTAGTGTGCAAGTAAGATCCATTAGAGATATTTACAATTTAACCCTTAAGAAATTTTTGCACTACATAAGTAATGTACTTTAGGTACATTTGGTATTTTGGTGCATCATACAAAATTGGACTAATTCTTGATATTGGATTGTCTTAGACTCAAAATAAAGGCCCAATAGCCCCCAAAAGGCCATTGGTTAAACACTTTTGGGCTTTGGGCCCTCATTTCAAGCATAAACATGTTTATGGAGTTTTATAGGTAAGAACAATTTATGATCGGGTTTATGAATCTTAGAAAGGAAATATATTTTAATAGGATAAATAATTAATCAATGAATTAGACTAAAGGTAAATTAGTTTTTTCATAAATTTTACTTTAAAATAAAACTTACAAAAAAAGATTTGGTGGGATGCAAATAACATATGTCCGCTGTTTTATTCTTAACTATGAACTGTGTAGTTTAAATTTTAAAATTATAGTAAAATTCTTAATTTAAGATAAATAAATCGGTAGGTGAGGGCATGAACTACTCTTATTCACTATTGGTATCAACATCCATCTTTACAAGAATGTGTGAAACTTTTTGTCGTTATTGTCTTTGTAAGAGCTTCACCTATAAATAGTGGCGGATCCAGAAAATTTTTTTAGAGTGGACTAAAATAAAAAATAATTACATATTAATATTTTTGTTAAGGTGGGTCAAAATCTAAAAATTATATATATTAATATTTAAAAAAAAATTGATGATTGGCCAAAAATGGGTTGGATCCGCCCCTGCCTATAAATGGAATTCAACCATATTATCTTTACAAAGTTAGAATCTTTTATATAAATAATTCAGTAAATACTAATAAAAACATATATATTGTAGAGATTTTTTCTTTTTTTAGAATAAAAAAACCCCGCACCACTTCTTTTTGGTTATGGAGGTGTTCATGAGGGAGCTCAAACCCCAAATCTCGTGAGAATAAATCATATACCTTGTCATCCAGTTAAGCCCTTGCGGATTTTATTACCCTTTTAATTTATTATCAATTTTGATCTCGTTTAATTTGATTTTATTTGAAAACCTCAAGGACGAAAATGTCATTCAGTCAGAGTTGGTCTGTAGTATATCATAATATCATTAACAAGTACACTGACATCAATAAATATCTTTGTATTGCAAGCCATTCCAAATTTAAGGGTAATATTGGTAGAAATAATTTACCACGTGTGAGACGTTTACAAGAATATCAGCACTTTTGACAATACTAATTATGGATTGATATAGAGCTTTAATGGTTTTGCCGTTTTGGATTTGATTCAATTTGATTGGTAGCGAATTGGAGATCAAAGAACTAAAATAGTAACAATCAAATGATATATTTAACCCTTATTTGTTATCGGACAATAAAAGTTAGTGGCTATCTATCATCTTATATTAAACATTGCATATAAGCTTTTTTATTCAAATTAACATAAGACTAATAGCAGAATAAATATGAAAAATTAATTTAATAAATAGAAATATACATGATGTGATAATTAAAAACAAAAAAAGTGTTGCCACACCACATGATCAATTTATATACAAGATAATATGACAAGAAAGAAGAATAATTATCAATAAATAAACAAAAATTTTAAGTTTCTTGATCTAAGCAGATAAATTATTGAAATTACCTTATGTACTTAATGTATATATTACTTTCAAATAATCTTAATCATTTAAATACTTTAAAAAAAGAGGTTTTAAACTTATTATTTATAATAGTTCAAGTATTGTTAATCCCAAAAGAAGATATTTTAGATATAAGTTACTATACGAGAATTGTAAATCGCAATCATTAAATGTACAGAATCTTTATACAAAGTAAATAAATTAAATAGATGAATTTGTGGATAAATCAACTCTATAAATAAGCGGAAAATAAACATAATAATAATTTATTGACTTATCAATAATTCAAAAGCATTAAAAATCAAAACCCACCCAAATCACAAACAAACAAATCAAACTTTGGCATCTTACTTTTGAATGTCATTTATTCTTTCAATGACAGTGACCAGACCCTGAAGCCCTAGCTTCTCATCACCGTTAGCAATCATACCACAAAGTAACTGCTTGCACAATGAAGCTCCAGGCAACGCCACCGCTCTCTCTTCTTCACTCTCCAACAAATCCAACCCCATTCCTAAATCCTTCACCAAAGACTCCGCAAACCCCCCCGGCCCAAACAACTCCATTATCATATTCCCTGCCGATCCTCTCCTTATTCCCTCCAAAACCTTCTTCAAATCCAACCCCGCTCGCTCTGCAAACGTTAATGCCTCACTCAATCCAAGCGGATTCGCACTTCCCACAATCTGGTTCCCTATCTTGCAGCTTTGGCCGCACCCAGCTTCGCCCACATACATGTGTTTTCCCATTATTCTGAACAATGGGGAAAGCCATTGGATAACTGTAAAATCTTAATCGCAATTTTATCAATTCTATCAATGGCAAAGAATCAATAATATAACCATATTTCTATGCCCTAAAATTGCATAATCTTAAATCCCAAGATCTGAAGCTTAATGCATTTTCACTATTAAAAAAAAAAAAAAAAAAAAAAAAATAAAACATACCTGAATCTATGAGTTATCTGATAATGGAGATTGTAGAAAAAGGCAGTATCTCTCTCTTTTTCCCTTTTGTAAGTTTGTAAGTTGCTTGTTTTTCTTCTGATGGAAAAGAAAATATTATGCATACATTAGAACAGAGAGATGACCCCTTCAAATACGTCAATCATTTATTAACTCTCAAACAGTAGTTATTTAATTAACTGTAGTTTCCTCTCCATCAAAAGTAAATAACCATCATGCCCTTTATTTAATTTAATTATTTCAAAACAACCATAGGATAAAATTAATACACGGACTACCTTATGTGAAATATAAAATATTTTTAACATTCTCCCACTTAGTCCATGTAAAAGTCACATATAAAATATTTTTAACATTCTCTCACTTGGTCCATGTAAAAGTAAATAACTTTATAGTTTAGAAATAATACATAATGTGTACACAATAATAATTAGCCAAAGCCAATTTCTTAAAATGGTCAAAATATAAACATTATTGAGCAATAACTCATAAGGATCATGGTGGTTGTATGTCATTGAATCAACACAGTCCCTTTACATGTATCACATTACAAATTCTATGTTCAGAACAATCTATAATGATTCTTAATGGTCCAACAATAAAGTCCTTATCAAGGACAAATTCTGTCATCTTTATTATTCATGTATACCAAACAACATAATATAAAGAAACACACAACAGAATAATTTATATGAATCAGAAACAACACATCAAGAGCTCAGAGTGTCCAAAATTTGAGGAGCATAATGTAAATCAAGAAACATATACAACACATCATAAATTAGTAATGACGGGCAATAATACCCATCCTCTCAATGTGCTCACTATAGGTCTTAGGTGACAATCCTTTAGTCAAACATGGTTTTCTTCCTGTCCACAGTTTAAAAGGAGTCTTTGGAACTGCCTTACTAGGAACCTTGTTTAATAAATATACAGCAGTTTTTAATGCATATATCCACAATGATGAGGGTAACGAGAAGTTACTTAATATACTCCTAACCATATCCATTAACGTATGGTTACACCTTTCTACAACATTATTTTGTTGCGGTGTCCCTAGCATTATGTATTGAGCACATATGCCTCGACTTTCCAGGAATTTAGCAAATAGACCTGGACATTGTCTAGATTCATTGTATCTACCATAATATTCGCCACCTCTATCTGATCGTACTACTTTCACCTTTCTATCTAATTGCCTCTCAACTTCAATAATGAATACCTTTAGGATATTAATAGATTGAGATTTCTTACACAATAAATAAACATATCTATAGTGTGAAAAGTCATCTATAAAGGTGATAAAATAACTTTTTTCCACTAAAAGAAGGTACGTTTAACATACCACATATATCCTTGTGTATTAGTTCAAGGAGTCTTGTGCTTCTAGTGCCTACTTTCTTAACTGTGGATGTGGTTTGTTTTCCCTTAATACAATCCACGCAAATGCCAAGATCAGTAAAATCCAAATTAGGTAAAACTTAATTCTTTACTAATCTTTGCATTATTTCTTTTGATATATGGCCTAAACGTTTATGCCATAAATATGCAGTTTTCTCATCCACAGAAGCACGTTTTGTTCCTATACTATGATGCAGGGTCAACAGCGTCTCAACAAATAAATTATCAAGATGTAATTTATACAATCCATCATAAAGTACACCAGAACCAATTAAACAGTTATGTTTAAATAAATTGAAACATCTATTCCCGAATTTAAAAGAATATCCTTCTAAATCAAGTTTAGATAAAGATATTAAATTATGGGATAACTCCAGTACATAAAGAGTATTAAACAAATCTAAATGATGTCCAGTACTTAAAATTAAACGATAGGTTCCAACAGCTTCAACTTGTGCTTTGACCCAATTTCTCATGCATACAAATCTTTCATTGTTATTTATGGTTTGGGTCATAAGGAATCCCTGCATAGTATTAGCAATATGAGTGGTACATCCAGAATCAATCCACCAAGTATTATAACGAACTTCTGATAAATATGATTCGAAACATACAAAAGTACTAGGCTTACCTTTCTTTTCAAACCATGTCTTACGTTTCAGGCAATCCCTCATATAGTGTCCAACTTTCTTACAGAAATGACATTTTTCTTTAGTCTTATCCTTCTTATGGATTTTGGCAGAAGACTCATTAATCTTCAGTGGCCTTTTGCCCTTTCCGTACTTCTTGTTGGATTTCTTCTTAACTCTAGACGAGCCCACAAGATTAACTAAATGAACTCCTTGTTTCTTTAATCTTTCCTCCTCTTGTACTAACTTAGTTTGAAGCTCAGTCATAATCCATTTATCTTTAATTGTATTATAATTAATTTGAAATGGACTAAATTGAGAAGGTAAAAAGTTAATAACGAACTGAACTAGGAAATTTTTGTCCACAGACATTCCCATGTTTCTAATTCTTGTTGTTATATTTGACATCTCAGTCACATGCTCATACATGCTACGAGAACCATCATATTTCATGGTGGTCTGCCTACTCATTAATGCTCCAGTATGGGACTTGTCAGCGGCCTCAGACTGAGAAGTCTCTTTGGCTAATCTCATAAATTCCCTAGCATATTCTGTGACAGGAAATGAGGTCTTAATTTCACTCGCCATTGTCGTCCATAAAAACTTCAAGCTCGATCTATTCGATCTCTCCCACTCTTTATGGAAAAACCTCTCCTCATCAGTGCTGTTCTCAGTGAGATCAGTTGGTTTCTTTGTCATGAGTGCAAGATCGAGATTTTGAACACCTAAGTAATACTTGGCTAGCTCACTACACTCATTATAATTGAACCCATTAAACTTAACAATAGATGAGGCATGAAGAGAAGATGTTGCAAAAACAAAATTATGCTTACACATTAATGCTTTGAGTTTTATACCTCATACATAATTTTAGGTTCAGATATTAAAATTTATTATTATTAAAACATAAATGTATATTGCAAATCTCCTTTGAGAGATATAACAATATATGATAATTAAACTTAATTGATGCAATTTTCTTAATTGGTAATCAAATGTACTTTTGTTAGACATGTTCGTTGTCTTTGGATATACTAAACACACCCAGTCAAGTACATTAATTAAACACAATTATGTTCATAATTATAGGATTAACTAATCTACCTTTGGGCGATCCTTAACTATCTTATAATTTATGAACTTCAAATTATTCATGTCAACTACATCATGCCATCTCTTTAAAGCATCGAACGATCATGAGTAATTAAATCTAACTTAGTTGGATATCTATGGGATAACCATTCTAATTTGGCCACTTTAGTGACTAACAAATTATACATAATATAGTATCAAACTTAAATAATAACTATAATATTATCCAAGGTCAAAATTGGGTCAATTCAACCCGTTGACTGTTAATTTTGACCGTTGACTGTTAATTTTAACAGTTGACCGTTAACTTTGATGGTTGACTAGTTTTGTCAAAGGTCTGGAGTGGTTTGACCCGTTTATTGATCCGAATTGCTATCTAGATCGGGTTTACCTGTTTGACTAAATGGGTTGGGCTTCTTAATGGGTTTGGGTTTGAATTGGGCTCACTTAAAAATATGGCTTGGGCTTCTTTTATTTGGGTTTATATAAACTAAAATAAATAGGCTTTAAAGGACAAATGGGCTGGATCAACATATGGGTCAATATTTGATGCAAATTTCTAAAAAAAAATTGGAATTCGAATTTTTAGAAATTTTTATTGAAAAAACTAATATGGAAAATCACGTTTCATCATAAGAAAATCTGATTTTGGCCAACTTTCCAGCCACTTAATAGATTTACAAACTCAATCAAATTTACAAACCCAATCAAATTTGACAGTACTTTTATTTGTCAATTTCCAAACCCAATTCAATTTCTTCATCCCATAAGAACTCTAATATATTAAAAAAACAACTTAATAGAAAATACAACAGTTTCTAAACCTAATGCTTTGATACCACATGTAAAATCTGAATAGCAATTTTATCATTTCCATCAATGGCAAAGAATCGGTAATATAATTATATTTTTATGCCCTAAAATTGCATACTCTTAAATCCCAAGATTTGAAACTTAATGTATTTTCAATATTTATAAAAAAAAAAAAAAAACATATCTGAATCCATGAGTAATCTGTTAATGGAGATTGTAGAATAAGACAATGTATCTCTCTCTTTTTCACTCTCTGTAAGTTGCTTGTTTTTCTTTTGATGAAAAGAAAATATTATGCTTACATTGGAACAGAGAGAGCTCTTTACATACGACAGTTATTTATTAACTCCCAAACTGCAGTTATTTAATTAATTACAATAACCTCTCCATCAAAGGTAAATGACCATCATGCCCTTCAGTTAATTTAATTATTTCAAAACAACCATAGTATAAAATTAATACATGGACCACATTATGTGAAATATAAATTATTTCTAACAATAACTCCACTGTCGCCGCCAGCTAGTATGGCTAATCGACCTTCTCTCGCACCCACATCAATACTTGAAACTGGTGCGTCGATGCTCCAGCTATCTTTTTTGCGGGCAGGTTTGAAAATCTCACGGGCGAGCGCAGGATGGTTTCTTGTCATGTCAACAATGACACCGCCTGGGTTTAAGCTAGAGAGGACGCCTTGTGGGCCGAGGATGATGGAGCAGACATCGGGTGGACCGCTGATTATGGTGAAAAAAATGTCGCTTATTTTAGCGAGGTCTTGTTGAGAGTTGATGAGACAGACACCTTTGGATTGGAGTTGGAGAGCTTTTGAAGGGTCGCGAGCGTAGATGGAGAAGGAGTGGCCAACAGAGAGGAGGTGTGAGGCCATGGGTGAGCCCATGAGGCCTATGTCGGTCCAGCCTATGCAGGTTTTGGAAAGAGAGATGGGTGTGGGGTAAGGAGTTGCCATTGAAGCTTTGAAGTGAAATTTTTACAGGTTTTAGACTTTTAGTGATTGAATCTGGTTTTGAAGTGAAGTTAGCAAATGAATTAGCTACTTAATGGAAATTAATTGTTTAGTTACAGGGAATTGGTAGAGTGATTATTTTTTTGGTAACATTTTGTATTATTAAGGTAACTTTGGTCACATGGGTCCATATATATTATCGCCTCTCCTCCAAGGAATAACTAATAGTAAATGGAAACATGGTTTGTTCTTACAAATGTTGCGGTTAACCATAGTTTTTTATACCTGTTAGGGCCAAAAGTCGTCCTTGACCCAAATAGGAAAACGGGCCTGATAGTGTGGAAGAGACCAGACCCAAATCCCGATGCGGCCCAATCCGGATTAGGCCCATTTAATACAAGATACAGCAGGCCCAAACCATCCGAGCACAAGCCTCCTAATCCCAGTTCACTCCTTGAATCCCCGAACGAATCCAGAGCCCACGGCCCCCATAGATCATTTTCCTATTCCTGATCACTCTCCTATTCGAGGTCACCTTCCTGTTTAGATCACTTTCCTACTTGAAGTTACTTTCCTGATTGGGATCACCTTCCTATCCAGACGTTGGTAAGACAGCTCGCCACCGCCCTAACTCCTCTAGGGTTGTATCAGAATTGCACTATGACTCTTACTTCTACTAGGATTAGGAGACTAGACAGTCACTATATAAACAGAGGCCAATCCTCTCACAAGGATCATCAGATTACACCTTCACACCCGAAGCTCTGACTTGAGAGCTCCACATCACTGCCGTAGTCACAGTCCCTGACTAGACTTTCGGTAACCTCTCTACTCCCTAGCCCTCACTATACTAACCTCTTTCAGCCTTGCTGACTTGAGCATCGGAGTGCCTACGGAAAACACCACCCCGGTGTTTTCCGTTTGCTTCATGCTTATTTCTCTACATGTGCAAGTGCAGGTGCAACGGATCGCTAGTGGCCTCAACCTCACGGGATCAGACCCCCCTTCCGTACAGGTAGATTTTTACGCCTACAACCTATTCTCACAAGCTAAGTTGACACTACCACGTTAGAAATGATTTTGACTAGACTAAAGAAATAGAGAATGACCATTCCTTATAAAGGAATGGTCGTTCCTCATGGAAGGAATAGTCGTTCTTTATGAAGAAACAATCATTCCCTATGAAAGGAATGGTTGTTCCTTAGAGAGCAACCATGTTGTTCCTCAAGAAACAACGTTGTTTGTTTGATTGTTCCTTCATAAAGAATGATATTTCCTTTTGAAAGAACGACTGTTTGTTTCTAATAGTGCCTGAGTTACCTTAGTTGTGGTGAGAGCTGACGTGATAGTGTCAATGTGCTGTCACGTTAGGGTTGTAAGAGAAGGTTGTGAGATTGGGTTGTACACATACCATTTTTCTAATTGTTTTTCTAAAAACTAACTAGACTTAACAATATGTCGTATTAAAGCGGTTTCGTGTAATGTCTCATTCGTGTTGTGTTAATTTTTTTTTTTTTTTTTAAAAAAATTTGAATTCAACCCATTAGCTTATTAGGACCAAATATGAAAACTCGAATCCAAACACTATTTTTGACTCGTTACCCAAACCCAACCCATTAAAAACTTCACTACTTTTTTTTTTTTTTTTTTTTTTTTTTTTTTTTTTTTTTTTTCTAATTGAATATCTATATCTATATATATAATCTTAAAGCATGACCTCTTTGATTCACATGCAAGAGTTTTAAAATTCTAAAATTGTTGAATTTTGATATGTTGGATGATTGTTTAACATGCGACTGTATTTAATTGGTGATGATGTGGAATATGTACATTTGACCACATGTAATTAATGATGATGTGGGATATGTGGATATGTATTTTTGGTTACATATGACTTAATATAATTGATGTTTGATTTTTTTTAATATTAATGATACAACAACAACAATAACAACAACAACAACATAATAATAATAATAATAATAATAATAATAATAATAATGGCCATGTTTGGCTTATTATTTTTATCCCTATTCCCAACCCTATTCTCAAATAATGTTTGACACATTATTCCAGAAATATTACCCTATTTTTTTTAATTACTTTTAGACCCCATAAGGTTATTAATTTCATCAAATACACCCTGAAAAAAAAGTTTAAAAATTATCAAAAACACCCCTGCGACCCATACTTGTCAGATTCCGGCAACCACCGTCGGTGGTAGTCGAAATTTGTACAACGGCCTACCTGCCAACCATAAATGGCCGGAAGTTTACCGATCTGGTCTTGAACGACGGCCAAAGAAATCTTGGCCATCGTTGACCGAAAACGACGGCCAAATCTTGGTCATCGTTGACCGAAAACGACGGCCATATCTTTGGCCATCGGCCATCGTTTTGGCCTTTTTCGACCGTCGACGGCCACGGCAGGCCATAGATCTGGCCTTTTCCGGTCAGATCCGTGGTGGATCTGGCTGGAAAAGGCCATAACGACGCGTTATGATACAGATCCGACCGGTTTATGTCGTAATGCGATTTTTTGGCCAGATTCCGACGGTGGTGGCCGGAATCTGGCATTGTAGGTGGTGGGAGTATTTTTGTCATTTTACATGTTGGGGTATTTATTAAATTAGTAAACTTAGGGGGTTTTTTTATAAATTTTTAAATTTTATCTCGTAATACTCCCATATTCAATTATCCAATACTATCCCCAAAATCCTATCCAAAATAATAAACCAAACGCACCCATAATATTATGATATTAAATAATGATTATACTTTATTTGTTATCTTAAAGTCTAATTAAAACTTTCTTAATTCAAATAAAAAGATATATAAATTGATGTTGGGCGGATGTGTTTAATCTCTTTACATTCACATAAATACAAACATTCACATTAACATTAAATAATTAACAATACTAGTTTTACAAAGACACATACAAAAAGGGCATAAAAAGTAATTTTTATTCTTGATTTTCATGATTTCTCTTTCTCTCCCTCTCTCTCTTTTTTCATTTTTTCTTTTTTTTTTTCTTCTTACTTATGTCACTTTGTAACCCTCTTTATATTATTACGCGATAGCATTTTTCTTAAATAATATGTTTCGATTACTTGCTCTCAATTTTCATTCTCATCATGTTCTTGATCACACGTATCTCTCTGCTCATTGTTCGTCTCCTCAGCCATAAAACCTAAGCGCCAGCCGGGGGCACTTACTTTCTTCTCTCTCTCTTTCTTGCTTTTTTTTTTTTTTTAATGGTTTTACACTGTTGCTTTTAGTTTAGTTTAGTTTTTGTTGGTTTGGTTTTTTTTATTTCGGATTACTGAGAGAGACTATGCGGAGAACATGGGCTGAACTCGGTTGTTGTTAGGCTTATTACTCGTGCCTACAACTCTTTTGGCCTCGAGTTGTCGTGCGTAAGTGGTTCAACATCACCGCTAAAGACTGATTATAGTGCCGACAGCGACGACGACGACAATGACCATCTTGATGCAGATTATGACACCGAAGGTTAGATTTTGAACCACATTTGGTTGGATTTTGTTTGTGTTTTGTAATTTGCTTAAAGTTTGAATTTTTATGGGTTGTGCTTTGTTTTGAGTTTTGAGGATGCCCTTTTGGGGTTTGAGTCTAAATTTGCAGTGGCTTTTGCAGAAATTGGGCAATCAAGGTTCAGAGTTAACAAAGAGGAGGAAGCTCAAGTTGATCCTAATGGTAAATTTGACATTACAATGTTCAAATTTTCTGTAACTCAGTTAGCTAAGAAAGTTGGGGGAAATTCTGGGTTATTAGAGAAAAGAAAAAAAAAAAAAAACCGATTAAGTTCTGACTTATGAATTGGATAACATAGGCCTGCCTTCGTCTGTTGCCGGCTATCTTGAAGCCTATATATGGTTTTGGTATTTTGTTAATGATTAATTAGGAATTTGCTTGACTATTAAGGTGTTTCTGGTATTTAAATTTGATTTGTTTACGCATTATTATATGATTGATAGAACCTTGATAGGGGAAGGAATTCAATACCCTGATATTCTTCTTTTTGGGCACTGGATACATATAATGACAGCTATGTTGAATGAGTCACTAAAGTTAGGTACTTAAGCATTGGTATTATTTTATTTTATTTATTTAGCTAGTGGAAGAACTGATCGAAGTCTTCTAGCTGCCTTTTGTCTGTGATTGGCTGTTATAGTCTTCTTGTTTTTCTTTATAATTTCATGCTTAAAATTGGAGGCACTCAAATGCTGTACATTTGAAAAGACAATTAAAGCCACCTCTTGGAAACGGAAGCATCTTGTAGCATTAGGCAAGACTCAGTTTGCAGACAGAAGAAAAAAAGAAAAAAGGAAAAAAATGACAGCTTGAAAATATGTTTCAATTTTAATTTTCACCAGCTTTAGTCTCAGAGCTCTCTGGACATAGTGTTTAAGCTCTTTTACTTAGGCGACTACACAAAACCCTTGGAATACATTGATAAAGTTGTCCTTGTGTTTTCACCAACTTGCACCAAGGTATACTCTCCTCACCCTTTTTTGGCTGATCCAGGGGAGTTAAGAGTAAGGCTTAGCAAGTTTAGCACATAGTTGGCTATTAACTACTGTAAATCACATGTTGCAGGCCAAACTCCTAAAATTGAAGTTGTTGTTAGCAGCTAAAGACTATTCTACTGCCATTTCTAAAGCTAGATATATTCTCAAGGAAGATGAGAACAACCTAAAAGCACTGTTGCTCCGTGGACGTCCTTACTACAATTTAGCAGATCATGATGTTGCTCAAAGGTTTCTTAACATCTTAGCTGTTATATATTTGCAATATAATTTATTCAAAACAGAAATTTATATTCATGATATATGTTATCTCCAAGCATTATCAGAAAGGACTTCGCTCGGATCCAGAGCACAGTGAACCGAAGAAGGCATATTTTGGATTGATAAATTTACTTAAGAAGACAAAAAGTGTAAGACCTCTAATATATTCTTTGGTATTTTTAATTCCTCTTTTAATTTTAATTTTAATTCTTTTTCTGGATTGGGTTGGGGTTTGAGATAGAGTGAAGTTTGTCTAGGTTCTTTTCTCATCAAGCAACCCTATTTAGGTCTTCTTAGGTTATAATCAGTTATTATACCTGAAGTACTTTTTTTTTTTCTCTATAGGCAGAAGATAATGTAAATAAGGGTAAGCTACGCCTCGCGGTGGAGGACTACAAGGCAGCTCTTGCATTTGGACCCTAATCATACTACACATAATGTACATCTTCATCTTGGTTTGTGCAAGGTCTTGGTCAAGCTTAGCAGGGGAAGGATGTTTTAAGTAGTTGCACCGATGCACTTGACATTGATAGGGAACATCTTGAAGCTTTACTTCAGGCTTGTTGTGTTTCCCTTTCATCATCATCTGATTTCGTAAAAAATATTCTATACATTTATGTATATTTTAGTTGTTGTGATCAATTTTTTGTAATTCCTTTTTATTATACGTATCTGTGCTCACATTCTTTAGCTTGCTTGGCATTTTTCAGAGGGGTGAAGGTAAACTGTTGACAGAGGACTGGGAAGGAGCAGTTGAAGATTTGAAATCAGTTGCTCAACAATCACCTCAAGTTAGTCATAATAAAGTTCATATGATATTTTTGTGAAGATGTGTTTTACGCTCCAATAATGATGTTGTAGGTTGCCAGTATATTACTATAATCAGTTAACTTTTGAGGCATAACACCTCTTATTACTTTTAATTCTGTAGTCATCCATCTTTATTCATCATTGATTGGATCACTATGGTTTACCTCACCATTGATATGATGACCAAAATTTTAAAGAGCCACTTAGATGTTAATATTCTTATATACATGCATCTGTATAACATATTTTTCTATAGATTTTGACATGTTGGATGATTGTTTGACATGTGGCTGCATGTAATTAGTGATGATGTGAGATATGTATATTTGACTGCCTGTAATTAATTATTAGTGATGCTGTGGGATATGTGGATGTGTAGGATTTTTGGTTACATGGGCCTTAATGTAATTGGTGTTTGATATTTTTTTAGTATTAATGACACATATTAATAACAATATGATCAAGTGAGGATTTAATGAATGACGAGTGGGGACCACAGCCCCCACTCAATTTTAAAAAAATTTCAGATTTTATATTTATATTTATTTAAATTTTGCCCCTATAGAACTTTGAGATTTTGGGAACGGAACGACCCCCACAGTAAGTTTGATTTTGTTTTTAATTTTGGGACTCTTACTAGAACGGCAACGCAAAACAGAAACTTGAACACCGAGCGAACCCAGAACTTCTCTTGCCTCTTTCTCTTATGGTGCTCTAAACTCTCAAGTCTCTCTCACCTAACTCTCCTTCCGAGTCTCAGTAGGCACTAGTTTTCATTAATTTATTAAAAGGTAATGTCCCTAACCCTAAATCCCTAATTTTTTCTATTCAATGGATGTTTTGTTGTTGCTTTCTTCAATAAAATTGAGATTCGCTATTGTTCTACTTGTACTATTTATTGAGAATTTGAGATTTGATTAATAGTTTAGTGTATATATACTATAAAATTTCATATAACCATCTTTTTAGAGTTTTTGAGTTTGTATCTGCAAGAAAGAAAACAGTTAATTAAAATCATGATCTTGTTAACTTAATTTTTAAATTTTAATTTAGAAGCTTATACAAGTAAATGATATATTTGGCTTTTGTTTATGAGAACATAAATATACATTTGAAGACCGTAGCTTTGAGTTTATTTGGTGCTGGGTTGGTGCAGTGTTTTCTTTTAAACGAATTCATATTTATTGGTGGAGTGGTGATAATGATCTAAATGCTAACTGGAAAGGTGGAGAAAGTTATTCGATGTTTGAAGGGTGGACCCACTTTTACCTACCTTTTTTGTCTTTTGTTTCAAGATTTTCCCTTTTTTTTTTTTGTTCTTCGCAAACTTGCAGTCATTGTTTCTGTGTTGTTTCTGCACTCTTTGACTCTTATAAGCAATAAAGGGGTCATTTTTGCTGAAAAAAGAAATATTCATTTAAAGATGATCATTTTCATTACTATGCTTACTGTTGTCATTATTATTAATAGCAATAATGGTATCAAGAAATAATTGAATGATTTTAAGAGATAATGTTATCCATAAATCAAATTGAATGATTTAGTGATGATATCTTTATATTGATGAGATGACAACGAATTATGTGGCTGTTTATTTTATAATTAGGTTGTTTGTTGTTGCTTATTGTTTATGTTTAGTAAAAAAACATTGGTGTAATTTTTCACAAATTCTTGACATTCCCTAGTTTCTTCCATCTTAATCTCTTGGTTCTGCACCAATTAAAAAAAAAAAAAAAGAAACCTGTTCTTTTGCTATATCAAATAAATTATAAGTTATGTGGTTTGTGGTCCCTTGATGTCTGTTTGTGGTTAGTGGTCCCTTGATGTTTGTGCTTTGTGGTGCCTTGATGTTTTCTTTATTGTTTCTCTCATGTTTGTAAGGCGATCACGTGTTTATTGTTAAACAAAGTACAAACCAGTTTCAAATCTTTTTTTCTTGTTGTAAGGTGATCTTCATCTATTCTTGAAAAGAAAATGAGCACTGAAACAATCGACAGTTGTGAGAATCACAATTGATATTGCAAGGTTGCTACTTTATTAATGTAGTGAACTTTACTCTCACATTTGGACATGCCTTTTTTATTGACAATTTTGTATAGAGAATAAGGTTATGCATAACCATTAATAGAATTGCCAAATATCAAGGTCTAATAGTTTTATAGTTAGAAGTACAACGACAAAATTTTTTGTCAATTAAAGAGATGCTAGTCTACAAAATTCTTGTTCCTCTTGTTAGGCAATTTTAAGGTTTTTCCGCTTAAAATCTAGTTTTTAGAGTTGCATTTCAAATACTTTTTTGAAGGTAGTGGACAAGCCTCTCAATATTTTATTTAGACAGAGAAAGAATGTTGTCAAACTTCTTATGTATGATTCAAGCTAATATTTGATACATATACTCAGAACATTGGGTCAAACAAACACAAACATGATCCAGCGACCACAAAGCACAAAAGTGGCAAAAGGCTATTGACTTGCATTAAATAAAGTATATAAGATTTTTTCAAAACCTCAATGTTCTCTTTGTCTTGTTTTTCTTTTTGAACTCAATGCAAATGTGCAATTGAAAGTTATACTAAAAGATGCAACAATGATAACAGGTTTAGGTTATAAAAACTTATTATCAACATAAACGACAAAAACTTACTAAAACTTATTATCAACATGAACAACTTACTAGAACTTATTACAAAACTTCTTATCAACATAAACGAAAAAAACTTACTACAAAAACTTAAAAAGATGCATATTTAAGATTTTTAATCAAGCACAATAAAAAAAGGGCAAAAAATATTAGTTCTTTGATAACAAGTTTGTTGACAATATCAAAAATTTTTTTAACTTTATCAACATAAACAACTAATTATTTATTGTTTGTAAAGATTAGTTTGAACAATCATTTTTTATGTATCTTTTCTTTCATCCTCATTAAATTACTTGATTAAATCAAATATTATAAATGAGTCTAAAAGGAATTTCAAACCAACAAAATATCATATTCTTATTGTCTTTCCATTACTATATATGTAAATCACTATAGGTTACTATGTATGTCTTATTGTCTTTCCATTACTATATATGTAAAATACTATGGGTTATTATTCTTGTATAATTTTTTATTGTTTTATTTATTTAAAACTTCTTATTAGATATGCAATATGGATAAATTTCTCAAAAGAAAATCAACAATAGACCAATCATCCTCATCAGTCCAAGAAAATAAAGTCAATGATAAAGAAAATGATCCATTAAAGGAAAGTCATATTCAATTAGAAGCCATCTTGAAAGATCTTCTGTTTGATCCAACTCTACGGCCTAAAATCAATCATTATCATCCTAATTATAGGGATGCAATTCAAAGATTTTACTTGCAAAAGAGTTGTTGCCAACCTCGAAATCATGCATTTCCATTGACAAAATTTGGAAAAGGATATCGTCAATTTAATCCTGCTTGGTTCGGTGTGTATGGCGATTGGCTTGAGCATAGTGTGACCAAAGATGCTGCATTCTACTTATATTGTTATCTTTTTAGACTTGCCATTATAAGCCAAGCTGGTAGTGACACTTTCGTCAGTGGGATTTCGTAATTGGAAGAAACCAGAATGCTTTCAAATTCATGTTGGCCAACCAAATAGTGCTCATAACCAAGCACGACAAAGTTGTATGAATTTAATGAATCAAAAGCAACATATCAAAGTGGTTCTCTCTAAGCAATCAGATCAAGTTCGGATTGAATACCGAACTCGCTTGATTGCATTTATTGTTTGCATTAGATTTCTTTTGTGTTAAGGGTTGTCATTTCGTGGTCATGATGAAACTAAAGACTTAAAGAACCAAGGTAAATTTCTCGGACTTCTTTATTTTCTAGCTAAGCATAGTGAACATTTTAAGAGTGTTGTTTTGAAGAATGCACTTGGGAATCTTAAATTCATAGCACCAGTGATTCAAAAAGATATTGTGAATATAGTGCCAAATGAAACCATAAAGGCTATCATTATTGATCTTGGAGATGACATCTTTTCAGTTTTGATTGATGAGTCTCCTGATGGGTCAATCAAAGAACAAATGACTATTGCCATACGTTATGTAGATAAAAAGGGTCATGTGCTTGAGCAGTTTCTTGGCATTGTACATGTTAGTGACATAACTGCAATATCAATTAATATGGCTCTTGAGTCATTATTTTGTAAGCATGGGTTGAGTTTGTCAAGATTACGTGGACAACGTCATTACAGGGCAAGTAATATGTAGGGAGAATTTAATGGTCTGAAAAGTTTGATTATGAGGGAGAATGAATATGCTTACTATGTTCACTGTTTTTCTCACCAACTTCAACTGATAGTACTAGGCGTTGCAAAAAATCACATCTCTGTTGCTTTGTTTTTCAGCTTGGTTACTAATTTGATAAATGTTGTTGGAGGTTCATACAAGCATTGAGACATGCTTCGGGAGAGCCAAGTTAATAAACTTGTTGAAGCACTAGAAATTGGTGAAGTTAGCAAGGGGTGAGGTTTGAATCAAGAGACAAGTTTAAAACGAGCTGGTGATACATGTTGGGGCTCGTATTAATTGTTATACACTGATCAACTTAATCCTTTTGTTCTCCTTTGTGGGTGATGTGCTTGAGGTTATGAAGAAGATGGTTTAAATCCTGAACAAAGAGGTGAAGCATGTAATCTATTAGATTTAATATATTCCTTTGATTTTGCATTTAGCTTGCATATGATGAAAGGTATATTGGCAATTACTAATGAGTTGTCACAAGCATTGCAGAGAAAAGATCAAGATATTGTAAATGCTATGGCCCTAGTCAAAGTTTCTAAACAACAGTTACAATTGTTGAGAGATGAAGGATGGGAATCTTTGTTGAGTGAAGTTTCTTCATTTTGCCAAAAGCATGATATTGCCATTTTGAATATGGATGATATGTTTGCAATTCGAGGGCGGTCACGATGGAGAGTTGAGCACACGACAAATTTGCATCACTATCGAGTTGAATTGTTTTATACTATGATATATATGCAACTTTAAGAACTTAAAACTCATTTCACTAAGGTTAGTATTGAGCTGCTTCTTTGTATGACATGTTTAGATCCAAGTAATTCATTCTCTACTTTTGACAAGTATAAGTTGATTCGTTTTGCCCAGTTTTATCCATTTGATTTTTCTGCACTTGAAATTATGGTACTTGAGAACCAGGTTAAGACTTATGTTATTGACATACGTTCTTGTGATGAATTTGCTGAGTTGCAAGAAATTGATGATTTGGCTAAGAATTTAGTTTTGTTTAAAATAGACATTTTGTATCTATTAGTGTATAAGTTTGTGAAACTTGCATTGGTTTTACTAGTTGTGACTGCGACAATTGAAAGAGATTTTTCTGCAATGAATCTTGTGAAAAGTCGGTTATACAATCGTATGGAAGATCAATAGATGAATGATTACTTGGTCACCTATGTTGAGAAATATATATTTGATACAATTGACAATGAGATGATTATCCAACATTTTTTGAATATGAAAACTTGTTGAAGACAATTGTAGAAAAATTGTTTTATTTTTATAAAAATTGTGTTTTTTTGAAGATATTTATTTGTATTTTGTAACTTTTTGTTGAAGCTCATCCTAATGGAAAAAAAGGTATGGTTATGATTGGTTTTAATTTTTTTTGTTTATTTTTTTGTCCCCATCAAGTGAAATTCCTGGATCCGTCACTAAATATGATATTAAATAGTGATTATACTTTATTGGGCATCCCAAAGGTCTAATTAAAACTTTGTTACAATTTACCAACACATACATATAAATATAATATAAGAAAAAGATGAGATTGCCTATTCATTTTATCATTCATACTCAATAGAAAAATTTTGCAATACAAATTTAAAAATTGAAAACATATTCAATATTCAAAGTTATTAGCAATACAACAATAAATTGCAAAAATATTTTCAAACCAATGTCTCTAGGAACATGCAACAAAGAAAATGGAAATATTGAACACTAGGACACAACAACAACTTTAAACGGTTAGGGATGCTCCTTCCATTGTAACTTGTATTGTTCAGTAACATATCCCCAGTAATATAAGCCAGTGGCCGAACCATTGTAATATGCTGAACCATTTGTAATATGTTGAACCATGACAAGAAATCCACCAATCACCTTTACTATAACATATTCAAAAAATATGCTAAACCATTTTAATTGTAATAAGCCACATGCCGAACCATAACTTAAATGGAAACTAAAAATGGGTCTTACTAATCTAATAGATCAACTACTTTAAGTAATATAATATTGCATGAAAATGACATTTCATATTGTTAGTATCTTTAAAAAATCCACCATTTAAATTACTATTGCCTATTTAAAAAATACATTGAACAATGTTTAATTGAAATAAGCAAGTCACCGAACCATAACTTAAATGAAAATAAAAATCTAATAAAATCTAACAAATCTAAATGGTTAGGCTTCCTGATGTTTATAGACATTACATTGTTTAAAAAAATATTACAATCCTATCACTACTGTATGAAAGAAAATAATACTTCATCATAGTACAACATTGTTCAGCAAATTGTTACAATCCCGTGACTGGTGTATGAAACAATTGTTGAATCAATCTAGTTATTACAATTGTTTCTTTATGATTTTGATTTTTTAATGTTAATTTCTAATCATATTTAATAAGAAATTATATATGATTAACCATATTGCATAATGTTGGGGGGATTAAATCGAATACTAGTAAATCCTAAGTCCCTGAAAGTGAAAAAAAGTGCAAACAAAGGACACAAAATAACCACACACACAAACACAAGATTTATATTGGTTTACTCTCCGCATGAGAGTTACGTCCACTTTGCTGCTGCGAAATTTCACTATGAAGAAGAAGAAAAATTACAAGAATCTCTCACAAGCCTCACAAATTGGCTCACTTGCTAAACCCTATTTGGTGGCTCTCACTCTCTAATTGTGGCTTTACCTTCTATTCGATTTGTGATATCTAACTCTAGGACTTAACCCCTTTTTATACGTAATACATGGGACACTATTCCTAACAAGACTCAAAATCCCATATCCTAATAGGAATTTTATTATAATTCCTAATACAGTTATAATCCTATTCCTAAACGAAAATAATTCTACATAAACACAAATTAGGAAAACCCATGTCCTAATCCAACTCTAATTTGGATAGAATTTGGCTCCACAATCTCAACACATAAATGTCATATATATGTTTAGGAAATTGCATAGAAACATAAAACTTAGTAATGTGAAAACCAATAGACAACGTCTAATAAATAAACACACCAATTGAAATGTGTGTTTTTGATTTTTTTTGACTTGAATATTTAACAAAATATCTACTACAGTTTCCTTTCACGTTGTCCAAAGAGTTTTTTTACATTCTTGAATCAGTGTGTTTATTTATTAGGAGTTGTCTGTTGGTTTTTCAGCTGTCGGTTTTCTATTCTCATTTAAGTTGCACTTTGATGTTTATTTCTATATCAGCATAAGGAAGTCTGTATTTGTATCATTGCTTTTATAAATTTGTAAACTTTCATTGTCTTTTTTTTTCCCAGTTGATTTCGCAATGGTTGGCAAAACATCAGAGTTGAAAGAGATTGTAGCCAATACCAACACCAATGTCGACAATTTAAATACTACGAGAGAGAAACTAAAAGATAGGAACTTAGAATCGAAAAAGGTCAAAGGAAATGGTAATAGATCTTTTCTATGATATAAAAGAAAAAAAAAAAACCCTGCAAATTTCAATCGGTGTCTTTATTTATTAGAAATTGTCTATTGGTTTTTCGGTGGTTCATTTAATATTCACATTTAACTTGTCATGTTATGTTTATTTCTATACATCTGTAAGGAAATCTGTATTTGTAACGCTTTCATAAATTTAGAGATTTTCATTGTTTTTTTTTTCCCTATTGATTCGGCAATGGCTAACAGACCGTTGGAGTTGAAAGAGATTCTACCTAATGTTCTCACCAACTTAGAGAATCTAAATACTGCAAGACAAAAGTTCAAAGATGTCATTGATGTGTTGTTTAATATCATGGATTTTGCAATGGTTAATACACGGGATTATTTGGTTGCTGCAAATGAATAGGAACTGAAAATTCTTGAGGAGAAGAATAAAGAACCTCCCTTTACACCATCGAATAGTACTTGAGAAAAAGATAAAATAGTGTACACATTTGCTTTTCTAATTAAAATATATTAAATAAAATTCACTTCAAAATCTAATAAATCAAATATTTCAAAATTTTATTTCAAATTAATGATTTATTGATTGCTGAATATTTAATTGACTAATTAATTATGTATAACATACTCTATCTTGCTTTGACAAATACAATAGCAACCATTGGCCTTTTTTCATAAGTTTCATTAGACCTATCTAAGATAAATAGTCTTTTCTATGCTATTCAAAAAGTGAAGTCTTCATATGTTATTGTTAAACTTGAGTACTTGAAATACAAGCAATAACATACCCTCGTGACACAGAGGCTTTACACCTAGTTGAAATATAATATCATTAAACTCTTATAGATAATTTTGTAATAGAATTAAACTATATTCATAAACACAAATATATTGAAATGCATAAGAAATCCATAATGATATAATACCAAATTACAAAAAAAGTAATTGAAGTTTCAAAAGAAAAGGGAAATACAATTCCATATTTCCATTTAAATAAATACTAGTGTTGGTCCTTATTTGATGCATTTTAGAAATTGTGGGTTGCCCTTTCATTGAAATCGACATAATTGCCGGAAAAGTGTGACTTTCTGAAACCTTGGAGGGCAAACTGATTTTCTCTCAAAACACATGCACCAACTTAGACTCGGGGCATTTTATTAAAATGCCAAATCAAGTTCAAATTTAATTAAAAGGCCATGTAGTTTGAAAGTGTTAAGTAAATAGCCTTATTATTGATTAAAGTTAATTAAACGTGATTAGTGATTAATTAAGATTAATGAAGTATTGTGTAATCTTTTAAAAATTACAATATGTCCCCAAAGAGCCGAAATTCTTGCAAACAAACCCAAACACCTTCTTCTTCTTCCTCCCGCCATTAACGCATCCCTCCCTTGGTTGTTGTTTCTTCTAAGCTTCATCTACATCTTCTTCTTCGTCTACATCTTCTTCTTTGTCTACATCTTCTTCTTTGTCTACATCTTCTTCTTCATGTACATCTTCTTCTTCCTCCTTCATGTACA